TCGTAATAATCCCTTTGTTCTGAGATCAATCATAAATTATCCCATTAATTGATTGAGTTGAATTCTGTGGAAAGCCTTCTATTTATCTATATTAGTAAATTTAATGTGGGAATTTTTTCCCCAACAAACTATTATTTAATTAACCCACTAATTCAGCCAATTTGCATTAATGCCTGATGAGTGAGTGGTGCACTAGGCAGGGCTAAGAATGGTGACTCAGGGCCACAGGGCTGCTGTGGGTTCTTTGCGTGTTTGCTGTGTCACCTACTTTGGCTTAGCTATGAATGCCCAGTGCTTTTAATGTAGATTGGTTCCTGTTGTCATTGCTGGAAGGAAGCCCGCGACCTCTTCCTTTCCTATTCCTTCCTCAAGCACACAGTAAAATTAGATGAGGCTCTGGTTCAAGAAGCCATGGCTGTGAGTCCCACAGCCTTCCTGGTGCCCCCGGTGGGGCATCTGTGGGACCTCAGGTGCCACATGGGTCTTAGGCTTCCTGGGACAGGCTGGGCCTTGTGCAGCCCATGCTCCAGAGGTTTGGGAGACCTCTGCAGGTGCACCAGGGCTATCTCCTGCCTCCCTGCTACTTAGCTCAGACCAGCTGCCCTCACATTCCTGTCCTCTGGGTTCGCAAGCTTCCCCTGACTCAGAGACCCAGATCTCCCCCACCCCCCACCCCGTCCATCCCTCGCTGCGTGTACTGAGAATGTCACAAAGCCCTGTGGACTGGCTCGGCCTCCTCAGGGTCACAGTGCCGATCCAGAGATGCTGTGATCATCCAGAGTGGGGAGAGGGCAGGGCACAGACTTCTCTCCTCCAGAAGAGATGGCCCTAGGAGGAGAGCACCTGTTTGCATTTCTGAGTGAGACACATTTGCACCACTGCGGAAATCCCTTGACACTTTCAGTAAAAAGGAAATAGAATTTCACATTCAGGATTATCTTAAGTATGCTAAAATAAATACACACACTCACACCCAGAATTGTAAATGGCAATTGTTGTTTGATGGCAGAAACACGATTGATACTTCTTTTCCTTCCTTAGGCCTGTTTTGTTTTCCTTTTGCTGTGCTTCGGGGGGAGGTGTTAGCTTCCACTGGGTTTCTCTTAACTTTGTCTTTATGAAGGGGGATTGTGTACGTTCCCCTTCAGTGTCCTTGACAGATGTTTTGGAGAATGATTAGTGCTCTCAGAGGAAAGACATTTCAAGAGAATAATTTGATCTGTGGTAGAAATAGAGGTACCTGACACAGTCAAGAGAAAGGCGTGGGAACAGTGTTCACTAAGGCAGCAATCTCATTAGAGTTTGTAACATCAAAAGCAGGTGTCATGATCCTGGAGCTTTAACCTTTTACAGCTAATATTCTTATCCCCAAAGCATCTTATATATTCATTGTAAACAGTGAAATATGAGTGTAAATGGGGGTGTGAATACACATAAACAGAGGAAAAGCAGTGTCAGACAAAATTCTATTTCCTAAGAGCAAAATAAACCCATTCTTAATATCCGGGCTTATGCACTTCCAATTCTTTCCTTCCTGTTCCTATGCATTTATATGAATATGTAGAAAAGAAACCAAATACAAAGTGAGACCTAAGGATGTGACCTTAGGACTGCACAACTGTTCCTTCTCTCCCCCAGTGCTAAGGAGCATTCACAAAGAGGAGGTTTCGGATGGTCTGATCATTACAGCTCCTCCCCGTGTCCCTCTAACTGTGGGCCCAGGCTTTCCAGGGGCTGTGACCGGACATCTGGACATCTTGGACTGCAGCTCCCATCTTTGGGTATGCTGGAAGGCAATTACATGAGGATATTCTGTTCATTTCTGTCCCTGGAGTGTTCTTGGACCTCTTCCTTTTCAGCGAAGCAGATTCTGTAACCCTAAGCTTCTGCAGCACACATGTTCCTGTCCACCACTCCTGTGGGATGTGGCACAGGGACCTGGAGGTGCCAGCAAAATCGGCCAAGGTTTCCAAATTGTTTTAGCTCAGAATACAAATATCCCCCAATGCATCCTTAGTTCTCAGGCATCCTCAGACTCATGAAGTTTTATTGGCCTGTACTATGTTGCTGCCACTCAGAAAAATCATCCTGAGGGCCGAAAAGATAGCTCAGTAGAATAAGTTCTGAGAACAAGGTCCTGAGTTCAATCCCTAGTACTGCAAAGAGAGAGAGAGAGAGAGAGAGAGAGAGAGAGAGAGAGAGAGAGACAGACAGACAGACAGACAAAGATAGATCATCTTGATTTCCAAATCCTTCTTTTCTCCAAGTTAAGGACTCTTAAAGACTTCTCCTTACATCCCTGTTCACAAGTGGTCCCTGCCTAGTCTGCCTGGACATCTGTTATTGACCACCTAGTGCTGAGCAAGCACTGGTTTCCTGGTGACTCAGGCTCACAGAGTTGCTGTGAGTTCTTTGGGGATTTGCTTTGTCATGTAGTTGGCCTTACTGTCAAGTGTCTACATTTGGGCCATTCAAAGCAAAGCAAATCAGTAGCAAAAATACTAGAGAAGGATAGTAAGGAAGAGGAAAAAAAAAGCATCATTTGTGGCTCTGCCACCAAGAAATAGCCACTGTTTATAGCTTTAAAGAATGTATTATATTTATTTTCAGGTGGTTAAGATAATACTAGGATAGAACGACATAAAATTTTGTGCCATATTTTCCACTTAATATCTCATAAACATTTCCTGTCATGAAGATTATTGAAAAACTTTTATTTTGGTTGATATCAGGGATTGAACTCAGAAGCTTGCGCTTGCCAGGCAGATACTTATGCTGATGAGCTGTCTCCTCAGCCCCAGCCCCCAAAAGACTTTTATTGGTAGCAGTATTGAAGAATGAGCCCACAGCCTTCCTACTAAGCTACATTCCTAGCCCCATTTCTAAATTTTTATTTTGAGACAGAATTAGTCTCATTGAGTTGCCGCGTTTCCCAGGATGTGCTCCAAATTGGAATCTACCTGCCACCCTCCAAGAGCACTGGGATTCCAGGCATGCACCACCCCACTTGGCTGACTGTGGAGGGCAAGCTATGATTCCATCATTTTTGCAGCCCCTTATCATGGTAACTCTGAACTCTTTCCCTTGATGTCACCTGGACATCTGAGGTAACTGCCTTGTGCAGTTGGCAGACTGAAACAGCAGTGTTCTTCATGGCACGAGAGAAGTTCTTCTGGTCAGGACACATCTCTTCAGACACCCTGGAAGTTGAAAGCAAGCACTGGTGCTGGATCCCACTGATCACATCATGGAGATTGGCACAACCTTCCTGTGCTGGAACAATCCTTCCCGTGTCAAGATCTATCCTCGTGACATTTAAAATTGGTTATGTGCTATTCCCTTATTACTAACCTTCTGTGCTTATTCTGGTTGTTATCATGCACCTATGATTTTGGCATCAACTGGAAGTTTCTCTGTTTATATCTTAATTACTTTTCTCAGAGTGCTTGACATCTACAACAAAGTACCAAGTACCTACAAGTTAAATGAGGAAAGGTTTTTTTCAGTTCACACTTGGTAGAGGTTTCAGTCTATAGTCAGTTGGCTCCAAGACAGGGGAGCAGGCAGAGGGTCATCAGAGAGGAGAGCGCTTCATGGTGTAGCAGGCAGGAAGCAGCAGGAGCAAGCAACAGCAGCAAGCCTCCTCCTCCTCCTCCTCCTCCTCCTCTTCCTCCATTTGAACCCATCCAAGCTACAAGCCTTTTGGGTAGTACAACCCATACTAGGGTGGATCTTCCTGTTATTCATACATACAACTATTTAAAAAAAAAAACAATTGGCAGACTAATCCAGTACATCATACTCTTAATCCCAGTATCGCACACCATAGATTCAGCCATCTATGAAAGCCCCACCTATAAGTGCATGAAACTGTGTGTGTGGGGAGGCATCTAGACACAAGCCATAGCTTCTTACTGTTCTTTCATTCTTTAGGCTAATCATTCTATGTGAATTCCTTATTCATGTGATTATTCATACTTCCTTGGACACAATATATCTTTAAAATTCAGAACAAACAAATGTCAGGTTTTGCTTTAAAAACAATAATTTATTATACTGTCTGAGGTACCTCAAATGCAGAGCTTTATCATGATCTCACACATATTTAAATATTATATTGGCATTAAAGTTCATTGCAATTTCTTTAAAGTGCTGTACTAGATGATCGAGCTTTGTGACATTTTAAATTGAACCTTATATTTTGGCACTTAGATCAAAATGTAAGAAACATATTTCTAGAAAACACACAAAGACAATCGGCAATTATTTTAACTCTACCAATAATTTATTTTCTGATTCAACATATAAGAAACCTATATTCCTGTAAAATATATGAAGGTGATCTGTAATTATTAACTTTACCAGTGACTTCTTTCCTGATACGATTAATCATGGATGTGTTTGGAAGTTCTGTTCATTTGTCCTTAACGGATATGTGAGAGTTGAACATTGTAACTTTCTTCAGAACTTTGAACAACATTTAATGCTTCTAACTTTCTTGAGTTTGCTAACAGGTGGAAGCAAGAGGATAGAAGTCCGAGCCCAGTCTAGGCAGCTTAGCAGTTTAACATGACCCCATCTCAAAATTTATAAGAACAAATGGAAGTGATAGAAAGATTTTGGTGTAGTGTCATCTGCATTGCTGTTGTTCATGTACTTAGTTTGCCCTTGTTTATGTGGGTCATGGGGTGAGGCCAGTTCTTAAATATCTGAGTTCAATTTCTTCGTGCACAGAAGTTTCTCAGGGCTCCAGGGAAATCTTAAAAGTTCAGAGGTGTTGTAAATAAGTTTTAGAAACAGAGTCACCAGAGTATAATATGAGAAAAGCCTTAAAAAACTCCCCAACATCTTTTTGATTTTTTCCCATGTTATTTCTCTTAGAGCATCACTGCTTAGGCTCTGCCTCCCTGCTGTGCCCTCCTATGGCCTACAGGGACCCTGCTGCCTGTCCACCTCCTCCCTTGGTTGTGACCCTGCTCTTCTCTCTCGCCCATCCGCAGAGCCTGGTGTCTGCACGGTGTTCGGAGACCCTCACTACAACACTTTTGACGGCCGGACCTTTAACTTTCAGGGCACGTGTCAGTACGTGTTGACCAGAGACTGCGCCTCCCCCACCTCGCCCTTCCAGGTGCTGGTGAAGAATGATGCCCGGAGGACACGCTCCTTCTCCTGGACCAAGTCGGTGCAGCTGGTCCTGGGCTCCAGCACCGTCAGCCTGGAGCAGCACCTGGCCGTGCGCTGGAACGGCTCCCGCGTGGCGCTGCCCTGCCGAGGGCCGCACTTCCATGTGGACCTGGAGGGCTACCTGCTGAAGGTGACCACCCGAGCAGGTGGGGCCCCACCCTGAGCACCTGCTGCCCCTTCTGCTGTAGGGCTATCTCCTTCAAGGCATATGGAAATGTCGCCAAGGGGTTAGAGATGTTGTGTGGAGACTGGCAACTGGGCGCTGGGCACGGTGACCTTGCATCTTCACATGCCCAGAACCTCACCATTCTCACTCTAGAAATAGTTGTGCTCATAATAACCCCAACCTGGCCACTGATGCAAAGCTTGGAGTTGTCAGGGTCTCTCTTAGCTCAGCTACTTACATGCAGTTTCACGTCTGGGAGAGGAGATAGGGTTTCTTTGTTAATGTATGACCCAAAGTGTGAGGCATCCTCTAAAGGAAACAGCCAGTATCCGCAGTGTTGAGAACAAACAGAGCAGAGTGTGCTGAACCTTGCCTGTGATCCCAGCACTTTGGGAGGCTGCAGGAAGAGAACTGCAAGTGAAGGGCTTATTCTTGTGGTCTCTGTGTGCACTGGGTCGCCAATCCAGCCTAACCATCCTGTGTTAAAGAAAATGAGGCCCACTCCTGAGTGTCCAGAAGAGGGGGACAGGAGCCACATGTGACCAGCAGTCCTGTCCAGCCTAGATGCTGGCAAAGGAAGCCACCACCTTGACAGCCAGAGGCGTCATCTCAGGCTGGCTTGGAAGTACAACCCTCCAGCACCAGTGATGTGCCCTGCATTTCCACCCTAGGAAACCCCAGGAAACTTGCTAGGGAGCCACCAGGCTCAAGTCTGCCTGTTATATGTTGCTTAAAGTACATTTTAGAAGCAACCCGGTTCCTGGTTGTCAGGCCCAGAGACTGAGTGCTGCTCATCTGCACACTTTATTACACCATGTTTTGGCTCTGTGCAGGCTGCACGTGCTCCACCCTGTTGTGTGATGGTTGGATACCATGCTGTGTGTCCTGGTGGGGGCTGTCTCTCAGGAAACAGATGCTTTAAGGAAACCAGCCTGCTGACTGCCTTCTTACGGTTGAGAGTTTATCAGTGTGAGAGCACCAAGTTCAAATTTCCATAGACAACACAGTCACAGAGGGAAGCCTTTGATGGAGCAGGCACCCAAGGTTGCGTGAGGCTGTTCCTATCCCCAGAACCCTGCTACTGCCTCAACTGAAGCCAAAGTATATTCTGATAAATTGATTTTGACTCCTTGGTGTGCCCACTTAGTAAATAGGGCCAGAAGCCAAGGCACAGCCCTGGGACCTTTCAGTTCAGGAGGACATCAGCATTTCAGTCTGACAATGGAAAGCATTAATAGATTCAAACACTCCACAAAGAGGGAAAATCCCCATTCTGTATGTCACAACTATAAAGAGCTCTTCCCATGGACTCTAGAGGGATTAGATGCGTTTAGGAAATTCAGTCACCTGTTCTGTCCAGAGGACATGTACTCTGTAATATAGGCCCTGTCTGATTCCATAAAGGGAGAAGCATTTTCTGGCTCCCCACAAAACTTAGCAAGATGTCCTGCTGTTACAGGGCACTAATGAAAAGCACCTTGACTATCTGTTTGCAAGCCAGACCAATGCAGTGAATTTTATCGAGATGGAAATTATTAGTCAGCTGGATCCCAGTTCTCCAAAGTATCCTGGGTCCCTCAAGATTACTAACAGCCCAGGAGACTCTGTACTGTTCCATACAGAGCTGGCAAAGCCTGTTCTTTGCAAAGATTCCACATTGTAAAAATAAGCAAAAGGGCAAGACTACTAAGAAAATAATAATGGATCCCAAACACCATTGTAGGCCATGAACTAAAGTTTTATACTTCTCTTTTATTTTTCCATCTCTTTCCACAATTCAAGTAATTTTTCTTTTGTTCCTTCCACATCCAGCTGGTCAGTATTCTGGTGCACGTAAGTCACACAGCTTTCTGTTTCCTGGGAGCAGCACCATTCTTCTGGGCACTACGCTTACACTGTGCTTATCCTTTCAGTGGAACAACTTGATTTCCATGTGATCATGTTTCTAATCTGATCTAGCCATCTCAGTTTGAACTGAGAATACTACACTGTAACCCACAAACATCCCCTCCCTCCACTTTGATGTGAAATCTTATCAGGAATACTACCACATTTACATATCATTGTGGTATGTCTTCTGATTTTGTACTTCCTCTCCCCTTCAAGTGGGTAGCAGCAGGTTATCTTCTTTCATCACCTGGTGATTTTCTGTTTAAAACATCATACCCCATAGATTCCCTGTTATATTTCATAATCAAAGGAGACTGTCCTCAAAATAGCAGCTTCAAACAGCCTGTAGCCAGAGGACAGGAGGCAGAGGAAAGGCTTCTTGCCTGTTGGTTGATGGGCTTAGCCTTCAGGATGGAATCGCCTTGCAGAGTTGCACATGTGGTCATATTGTCAGTGTGGAATTAGGCTGTGCTGCTTGTCCCTCAGCAACTGGCATGGGACCCCACCACATGCCAGCCCTAGCTCTCAGCAGTTAGCAAAGTATTTGAAAACATTTTCTTTCTGCAGTCTGTGTACCTCATGAACCCTAACTGAAAATCTTACATCAGATCATATGAATGCATTAACTTATGAGCAACATGGATTTTAATACTTTGATGGAACACTACTCTGGAACCCAGAGAGAATACTCTCCCCAAACTGTGATGTGAAATCTGGTCAGGAACACTACCCACTTTTGCATTTTCCTGAAGTGTGCCTACAGATTCTGCACCTCCTCTCCTCTTCAAGTGAGCAGAAGCAAAAACAGAAGCAATCAGAAACCAAGGCAGTGGGAAACAAACAGCAGCATCTCCAACATATAAGAACAGCTACACAAACATTTCCAACTTCAAATCACACTAGTGGTCTGTAGATGGATCACACCTTAGAAAGGTGAGAAAGTTGGCAAAACACTCACTCCAAAGAAAGGAGAATGGGAAGGCCTTTCCTAAAGTGGAAGGAACATGGCTGATGCTCACATCCCTGATAAGGGCATAGGGAATATGCTTCAGCATTAGCTGTCTGCCTCCAGTTGTTTCTACCCAGTTTCTCATGCTGAAAATTGGGAAACTCAATCCAGCTGCAGAAAGGACTTTCTCAACTGCTCAGATTCTTCCAGGATGTTTTCCCCTCACAAGACAACAACTTAACATATTTGGAAGAGAATGTCCCTTGATTATAACATGCTAGTGTTCTGTTTTTGCTTTTGCTTTCATGACTATAATCTACTTTGCATGGATTTCACTCCTATAGAGAGTAAAAATATTCACACAAGCACATGTGTAAATGATACAGCATAAGGCAAGGGCACTAGGGAGAATAAATCATCTCTTTTCTCTATGAAACCCTCATTGGTGAAAATCTCTTCATGTAATAACAAAGAAGAAAGGAAAGTGAATTACACATTGTTCTTACTCTGGAGACTGTGTGTTATATTGAGATGTCATGGATTTTGAGAAAAGTTGGTTGAAAACAGGGAGGGTCTGTATCCTCCCAGGCTCCTGTGGACACAGCAATCAGCTTATTCCCTGTGAACTGACTTCCCATGAACTTAGTGGCCCAAAGGATTACATTTATTATGCTATGGTCAGTCACGACTTGGGAGATCCTTTGGGTGTAAATTCTCAACTCTTTGTGGCACTTGGACGAATAGTCTTTGCTTGCTATCTAGGAAAGACATTTGTAGTTTGGACAGTGTTGCAACACTGCAAATCTTTCAAATTATGATCTAAAAGTTGGACTTTGTATGGAACTGATTTCCTACCCCCATTTCTTTTGCTAAGAAGTTTCCTGGTTACAGCCGTGGGAGGTCAAGTTTTGTCTACACCTTGGAGAGCACACAGTATTACAGACCATTTTACATTTTATTCATCCCCTTTAAAATGGTTGTTTCAGTGTTTTGGCCACCACGAAACTCACAATGTGTTTGTTTCTGAAGATTTGACGAGTCAATATGACAAGGGTCATTCATTGGGTTATTGATTCCATACCATGCACTGAATAGTGTGCTGGATGATGGGTAGGAGGAAATGGAAACCATCATGATTTTAAATCGTGGTTGTTAGAGTTGACACCATGTCATCACAGAGACCTGAGGAGCTCATCCCAATGTGGACATTCTTGTGCTCTGGCCTTTTTCTCATTACTTGGCCTCATTCCTGTCTTGTTTTCATCCAGGGGCTCCCAAAAGATGCTTTCCCATGTACCTCTTTATTCTCCTTTCCAAATCTATTTAATTGCTTTTCTCCCAGTCAAAACATCTTTTCTATCATTTACTTTAAATTTAGATTGTTTTGGCTCTTTCCACTTGCCATAAAGAGATTTTCTTGTGGCTTTTTTTCTTGAAAACCCCAAGTTTTAAGCTTGGGTTTCCCTTCTACTCCACAGCTAACGTAACTCTGTTTTGGGAAGTTGTGTGGCCTTCTCACAGCAGCCTTCTGACTCTTGAGACCAGTTCAAAGTTGGGGAGTGTCAGCTTGGAGTCCCACCTCTGGGGGTGTTTTCCTGATCTTATGTCACTCTGATGTCCTTCCCTTGTGCCGGTCTTTTCCTGACAAGATCCATTGCTTTTCTTTCACTTGTCCTCTCTGTCCACATTTTCCCTTTCACCTCCCCATCTCTATTTCTCCTGTCCAACCCCAACTTCTGAGCATTTATCATCAGCTTAATCTTGGTCTTTTAGGAGCAAGAACAACAACAATAAAAAACTCTCTACAAGACATTTTTATTTTTCCAAATATTGAGGCAGACAAAAGTTATCTCTTTCAGGAACCCTAAAGGGTAAGATTTTAAAACCCAAAGGAGGTAGAGACTTATAGGAAACAGAGCTTGCTCTGTGGGTGCTTCTTAGAAGACAGTGACAGTGGCTGAAGAGAAGTCCCAAGTCAGGGAAGTTCAGTGATCTGCTGTGGGTGTGAGGTGACATTCATGTGTCACTTTGCCCATGCTGATGCACATTCACCCAGTGCTGGAGGCCAGGCACTATACTACAAAGTGTCCCAGAAGGACAAGAAGAAGAGTTCTCCACCCCTTTAATGTGTACAAAACTCAAAAAAAGGTCATTTTCTTTCATTGAACCTCAACATGAAGCATCAGGGCCTCTCCTTTCTTTTGTGTACAGTCTTTACACACCACAGCACAGTGGATCTGAGTTTCTTCCTGACGTCTAGCTGGATTGGCCTGTAGTGTATGGCAACATGGCCTGGCTGTCCTCCATGTGACAGAGGAGTACCACTGTTCAGAGGCCTCAGTGGCTTGGGTAGCTCCTGACCAATGTGTCTGGAGGAATGTGCATGTGTTCAGACCAACCTTCCTGAACTTTAGAATTCAGCTTAGCAGGCCAAGAGGAGGCTCTGCTCCCTCCTTCCCAGGGCAAAGAGAGTTTCCTTATAGCCAATGCAGAACTGAGCTGATGATGCGCACGAGAGGACTCATGTCCATGGCCTGGTACCTCCACCCTGCCTCAAGTGAGCACACTGAAGATGGAGGCCCGGGATGGAAGACGAAGCTTTCCCAAAAACTCAACCTGAAACCTGGGTCTGTGGCCCATATCTCAAGAATGATCCTAAAGTCACAAAGGAGCAAAGGTGTTCATTTATATGAGTGTTGTCCTGTACAAACAATGTATTCAGAAACTTTATTCTTATATTTATTGATTTTGTGTTCTTATTACAGCAGGTAATTTGGAAAATTCCTCTTAACATTTGAAGGAAAAATTATATGGGAAAATTTTTGGATTAAAAATCCCAAAGGTATCTGTGTATTCAAAGTAGTTCGGATAGATATATAGTTACATTCTCTTAATGAATAGAGGGATTTGTTCTAATGGTGTTTGTAAATAGGATATCATGTCCACATCTTATACAGCAATTAACCACTAGGAAGAATGTATACAATGTGTTAATCATTGAAACTGTCCTACCAATTTGATTTGAAACTGTCTCATTGCTATTTGTTTATCAATAAAATTATGGAAAAAATAGAAAAAAAATCCCAAAGGTGACATTAAAGAACTGTCATATTTCATATTAGTCACTGGACAGATGAAGGCACAGTTCAGTCTAACACAAGTACTTTGAGAAAGGGCAAGAAATATAAATTGCAGAGTAGCATGGTCTAAGAGCACTTCTCTAAAAAGTTGAAATAGAAGTATAATAATGGCGAATTTTGTATAGTTTAAAAATCTTAAGCCCCCAAGTGATGATTTATATCTGCAATTTATAGCATTTAGTGTGGTGAGATTAAAAGACACAGAGAATTTGGGTAGAACCACTGTGCTCTTGTTAGAGAATGATGGTCCCATGTAGTGTATAAAGATGAGCTAATTTGGGGTCTATTGAGAGTTCAGAAGTGCTTGAACTCTTTCTTCTCCTCTAGGTTTAGAAATATCCTGGGATGGAGACAGCTTTGTAGAGGTCATGGCTGCCCCTCACCTCAAGGGTAAGCTGTGCGGTCTCTGTGGCAACTACAATGGACACAAACGAGATGACCTAATCGGTGGAGATGGCAACTTCAAGTTCGATGTGGACGACTTTGCTGAGTCTTGGAGGGTGGAGTCCAACGAGTTCTGCAACCGACCACGGAGGAGACCAGTGCCCGAGCTGTGCCAGGGGACAGTGAAGGTGAAGCTGCGAGCCCATCGAGAGTGCCAGAAGATCAAGTCCTGGGAGTTTCAGACCTGCCACTCCACAGTGGACTATGCCACTTTTTACCGGTAACCACCATGTTCTGGGGGTGAGTGGGTTACAGACCAAGGCTGAACTTGTCCTGGGGACAGAGCGTACCAGATCTCCTTGTGTGTGAACAAGGCCCCACAGTGAACATCTCTACTTCATTCTGTCCAGCTGCTGATCTTGTCCTGAGTTGCCCCACATCATGACCCCAGGTGGGAAACACCAGAAAGTGTCCACAAGTGGGCTTCTCTAGGTAGTTTTCTCTGTTTGGGGGTATCTGCAGGTTTCCTTTGAAACTGATGTCATTCCAGAGTTCTTTTTTTAGGTTTTTCAGCTTGATTCATGTTAGAATTGAGGAAGGCTTTCCAATTGCTGGGCTGTGTAATTACAGAGGTGTAGGAAAGAGTAGTTTGTTAAAGTGAACTCTCTGATCACTTTGGCTACTTATGGATGTTTAAGTGACCTAAGTTATTCCAGGCTGAGGAGGAAGCCAGGTCATCCTACTGGTCTACCCCAAACCTAGATGCATGTGGAAAATGAGTAAGGAAAGTGAGGTGCACTTGGTTCTTGGCCAACATGAGGCTTTTTTTTTTTCCAGATTCAGGGGCCTGTGAAAAGAGGCCTAAGGTTGAAGGAAGGACCCTCATTAAGAGAAGGGTCTTGTATCTTCATTTCATGACCCTTTCTTTTTTTATTAATTTTATTGAGAAACGAATAACAACGAGAAAGTTTCAAAATCGATTAATAGGATAGTTTCAATAATTAATACATTGCATATTGTTGTCTTCATAGTGGTTATTCATAGCACAAGATGCAGACATGATATCTTGTCCAAACACTATTAGTACAGATCTTTCTTCTCATTGAATGAAGAGAAAGTAGCAGTATATCTATCCTAACTATTTTGTATAGACAGATACAAAATTGACCTTCATTTGTGTCTTTTTTTTTCTTTAGTTTTGTCAGAGATGGGTATTCCATTGCCATTTAAATATTGTAGGTGCATGAATTCAGCAAAATATTCCGAGGTGGTCCATTAGTCCATAATAGTAGTGGATTACCCATAGGACTGGCAATATCAGAACTTGTTGACTTGAACCTTTTACAGCTCAGCATATGAACATGGCTTTATGGGGTTTTTTTGTTTTTTGGTTTTTTTTTTGAGGAACCAGGGATTGAACTCAGGCCCTTGTACTTGCCAGGGAAGCACTTATTCCACTGAGCCATCTCCCTGGCCCGGCTTTATGTTTTATACCTTGCTTTTATACTTTTCTGCTGGATGGTTAAGACCAAGGTAAAGCAAGATCTATATAACAAGAAATGTAACTTTTGATTTTAACAAGTCAGTCAAATCCCTTCAGGATTTATCTTGAAACCCTGTACCACAGTTTGTACATCCTTTATCAGTGTCAGCCATGTGGATGAGTCACGGCCATTGCTTGACCAATTTGCTTTCTGTGAAAGCCTGAGAGACTGTTTTCTCTTCAGGTGACTCTCCTTAGGCACACTCTACGAAATACAAAATCATTGTTCACTTTCCTCTGTGGCCCCCATAATATCCTTGATCAGAAAATTTGGGGTACCCATGACCTTTTCTAACTCTGCTTACGCCCTTTCACTCAAAGTTACATGCCACCACTTCCACTCAAGGTTACGTGTCACAGAGGAAGCCTGGATCTCAGTTTCGCCCTACAAAGTTGTGCTTGTCATTGGTTGATTTGGCCTGGCTGTGCCTCAATTTCCTACACAGTCCTGTGACCTCAAGAGCTATGGCCGCTGAACACAGTAACCACAGTGGTGTGGGGGAAACATGAGCCAAACGCAGCCCAGAAGGCCTTGTTTAAGCGATTTGCCTGGGCCTTTCAAATTAGGAAACTCCTGTGGTCTGCAGCCACAAGATGTTATTTTTACTCTTTAATTGCCACCAGTTGATTTCCCCAGCTCTTATTAAATGTGATCTTTCTTTTATTTGATCTTATTAGTTCTAGAAGGGCAGCGCCAAGTGAGGTGGAAAAAAAGAGTGTCCCTGTCATCACAGATTCCTGAGCATGGCTGCATCTGCCAGACTATTTAGCTCCGAGTCATGCATGTAGCTCGTTTGATCCATTTCCCTGCTATAATCTGAATTTTACAGGTTCCCTTCCTGTTCCTCCTGGTACCAACCAATCTAGAGATCTCTTTTATTATTAGTGTATGTTCACAATGCATAGTAGTTCCGTTTATGTTGGGGAATTGGTACACATATAAAACACATCTTGAGAATTTTTAATCCTGTGATATGAAGCTGAGTTCAGCATCTAGAAAACCCAGGCACTATTTGGGATCTGTACATCTTTACTTGAGCTTTACTAGAAAGTGGTAGAACACAGAAATTAAGAGCTTTGTGGAATGGGTTTGGTGGTGTATGCTTATAATCCCAGCACCAGTGAGTCTGAGGTAAGAGGGTCACAAGTAGAGCGAGCCCCTGTCTCAAAGCTTTACAGTTTTCCACAGCTCAGAACCTAGTCAGGACAGAGTCTAGATAAGGTACATAAGCTCTCTGAACCTCAGAGAGCCTGTCTGTGAAATGAGGATACCAGGAACCTCCGTGTAGTGCTGTCCATTAGATTCAGTGAGGTTATTATTGGTACAATAATTTCCTTCACTATCAAGGCCACTTTGGGAAGCTCCCCAAATCTCTAGTGGGGATTTGGGCTGGACTCTTCTCTGCTAAAGTAGAGTGGAAAGGCAGTGCCCATGCTTTGGCTTTATTCGCTTTCCAAAGGTTATGTGGAGAACTAAACTGGAGAGCAGGCTGCAAGGATGAGCACCTTTCCCTAAATTTCTATTTCCTCTGCCTTTGGTGAACTAATCAGTGTAATGATCATGAACTACAGCAGGACTACAATGAAAGGCCTTAGCAGAAGGAGTGAGAATAACTTCACCACTCATGAGTGAAGGGAGTAAGAATCCTCCGGCAGCCTTGATCCCCTTGTGCCCTTCATGCACTGGCACCATGGAGGTCACTTGTTGGGCCAGGGGCTTGATGTGCCCAGGGAGACAGCTCACAAGTGTGCTCTAGACATCTGTATAGGGAGGCTGAGGATGATGTGTTGGGGGAGCCCTGGCTGTGGTGGCCTGTGTGATGGCAGAGGACCCTTCTGTCACTTGATACTGTCACCTGGAAAGGACGGAGGCACTCAGGAGGGCAGGATCAGCAGTGCTTCCTGCCCTGCACCTGCTGGTGGAATCTTCACCCCCAGAAGTGTGCACCCTTGGGTGTTGGGAAGGAGGTGCTCTGTGTCTCTGGCTGTTGGGTGTTTCTCCTGTCTTCTGAGCACACGTTTGGCAGGAGAAGAAAATCAGTGAGGTGCAGTGTAGAACAGACTTACTCTTCTTAGGGGGCTCTGGGTAGGACCAGGTTTCAACGTTTTCAGGGAGACTGAAGCTATGGGGGAGAAATGCACCACATGTGGGGGAACCAAGCTGGACCCATCCCCCACTCTGCCACTTTTCAGCCCTGTGACCCCATCCTTTGGTTCAGCAGATCCACCGGGTAAGCCTACTGCTCTGACTACAAGTTGGTCCTGCCATGGGGTGGACAGAAAAGATTGTTAGGGGCTGCCTGCCTTTGGTCACAGCTCTCTTTAGGGAATATAGAAAGTGTGTGCCTCTCATGCGATTATCTTTCTGATCATTAGCTTTGCAGCCATTGTACACTAACCTGATTCTCTCTCATAGGACTGAAAGACATAGTCCCTGCCCAGATTGCATTGTGATTGTTTAAAAAGACCTATTGACTTAGAGAGAAAACAGCAATCATATGACATTTCTCATGTATATTTTTTACCTGTACTTTCTAAATCATTGGTGGGATTTTTAAATGAACTTGACAATATGATCAGGACCATGTCTGTGACATATGTTTTACAAGTTCTCATTGGGTTAGTTCCAGTTTGAAGTCATCAATATCACGTACATCAATAATTGTGGAATTTGATTCTTGTTATTTTCCCTTCATTATCCAGAGAACTATTTGTAACATCCTTTAAAGATGGAGAATAAAGTAGTATAAGACACACTCAGATTTCCAAGCACCCCTCAGTTCTCAGTCAGAGAAGGGAGAGGGGGAAGGAGTGATTCTGAGGGAAGGCCGGCATTTTGGATTCCTTAACCACACACCACCTTTCCCAAGCAGCTTCTATCAGGGACATGACATGGTGCTTTTCATAAGGTCAAAGCAATAATTCTGATTTTTTTCCAATCTAGAGCTTATTTTTGAAATGCCTAGAGTTTGTAACACCCAATTTATTTTGATATTTCATGAAATTTAGCATTCTCAATAGGACACCATCCATTGTCAGATATTTGGAAAGCTATTACTTTGTAATGAACAAGAAATGATTGCGTATTAGTCAACAATGTTTACTTTTGCTCTTTCTGGAAAGTTTTTAAGTTTAGATATTTATTTATTTATTTACATATCAGTTTAACCCTCTTTGGCTAATTTGGTATGAAAAAATTGATATATTATCAAGCTCTTGGAAATCAGAATAATTTCCTTTAATCAACTAAATGTGTTTGAGTACAAAACTATTTTATCATAAGTCAAGTAAAAATGCCACCTGCTCTATTAATAATGTGTCTTCAGTCTTGGCTTTGCTAACTGAATTTACCTCACATTAGATGGCCTCCTTGAAAGTTTCTGCAGGATTTTTCCCTGGGGTATGATGAGAAATTCCCTGTCCTATGGAGAAATGGACCTGGATCACTTGGTTATTTCTAGGTTCGCACCTGGCTTTTCTGAGGAAACTATGTCGTATGTTTTCTTATCTTCTCTTTTATTTCTCATTTTCATCTCCTTTCCCAGTTTCAGGCTGCCTTTCTTTTTATCCAAGAGGGCTGATTGAGAAATCTGAGAAGAATCACCCACACACAGAGAGTCCTGTAGGATCCTCAGCATCCCGTGTCCATTCACTGCCCCTCTGGCCACCTGAACCCTGGGTGGGACCCAGGATGGAGACCAGGAGGCAGACTGGCACTGTGTGGGCAAAGTAGGCAA